ATCTATAAATGTAACCTATAAACAGAAAATATATTAAAATAATTGTCGGACTTAATCCATTTGATAATATATATTGTCATTTGTTTACGTTAAGATACGCCTCAAGCAGATATGACCGTTCGAGAAAAATCAAGAGAAATTTGTTGTTTAAAAACAGTAATTTGACTAACTAGATACTTTCTCTGTAGCGCGTCAGGCTATATGACGGTTCTGTGTAGGAGAGAGAGGGAGGGAAATAATGTATATGAATATATAAGATAGAGAGGAGGAAGTAATGTATATATATATATATATATATATATATATATATATATATATATATACATTTAACAATTTCAACAGTATATATATATATATATATATATATATATATATATATATATATATATATATGAAGAAATATAGTCTTAAGATGTGCCATATTTATGGGATAAAGTGCTCAATATCAGAGATAAAGCGTGTGTAAATATAAAGTGAACATTGAAGTCAACACTTAGAGGCGACAGCCTGATTCAGGCTAGATGGCCTGACGATTGCATCTAGCATGAAACAGACTGTCGCCTCTAAGTGTTGACTTTATGTTCACTTTATATATATATATATATATATATATGCTATATATATATATATATATATATATATATATATATATATATATATATATATATATATAGAGAGAGAGAGAGAGAGAGAGGAGAGAGAGGGGGGAAATATGATTTGGAAAAAACAGTTAATACTTATATTTATTTATATGTAATATTTATAATACATGTCTTTTACAGAGATATATTAGATTATAAAATTATAAAATTGCGTTACTTACAAGTCGGTTTTCAGAAAAAAATTGTTTTACTTTTTTTTTACTTTAAATTGTTTTACTTTTTTAAAATTTAACCGGTTTTGCTGTTAGCATTTCAAAAAAATTTGTAACTGTCTATATTTCCACTTGTTGACGCTCGTCTTTTGAACAAATGAAAAAATCAAGAGGCGTAACTGGCTTTATATGTCTCTTATAGTATGGAAAATACGGACGTGCCTCTGGTTTATGCAATAAATTGAGTATTGGTTTAAAGTTGTTGATAAAAAATGTTTCTTTTGTTCGTGTGTTTTGTAGTTTCATAGGTAGAATTGCATGTTATTATGTGTATTAAATTCTCTGAGTTGCACTAGAAATCATTTTCAGTTTTTTCCTTTGGGTCCGTTTTTGTAGTGAAATTGCTGGTCTTCTAATATGTCGCTTGATACTCCCTAAAGGGGTCGGTTGTAACATTTCAACTGTGGCTTTTTAATTGTGTTCTGCAGTTTTGCAATCGTCAATATCTTTTTTTTTAGTGATCTTGGTTGTCGTTTACTTTTTATGATTGGGTATTTTTGTAAGAAGTTTTTCATTTCTTTTGTACTTTAGTAGAATTGTTAGATTTAGTTGTATGTGTGTCTGTAGATATCTGTGTTCTTTGGGTTGAAAGGTGAGATATAAGGGATGACCTTTTTTTACTTTTTGTCTCTTGGAGTGTGTGCATATTAATTTGTTTTGCTTTTTTAATGCTATCGTTGATTAGACTTTGGGTGTATTTTCGATTAGTCTGTAGTCTGTTCTGGTTTTGTTTGAGACTATTGTACAGATTCGCTTGTCTAGGTTAAGTGGAATCTTGGTATGAGTGTGTTTCGGATAGGAAAACCTAAAAAGGAGATACTGTCGAAAGTCAGTAGGTTTAACATTTATAGTGGTTTCTCGTTTAGAGTTTTCTTTTTGTTATTAATATGTCTAAAAAGTTAAAAATTTTTTGTTGCCGTACTCCATAGTAAATTTGATTCTAGGATTTATATTATTCATGGATGCTTGGAATGTTTTTAGTTCATCAAGATTTTCATTCCACAGAATGAAACAGTCATCTAGATATCCTTTCCACTTTTCTTTTATGTAGAAGCTGAAGCCATTTTCATAGATTTCCGAGTTTTTTTCATAGAATTTTTAGTTTATACTATCTTGGTGCAACCTTTGTCCCAATGGTGTTCCTGATTTTTGCCGGTAGGTTGCTTCATTGAACATGAAATCGTTTTTTTAAAAATGAATTCAAGGTTTCGGCCGTTGTACGCTCCGGCCTTCTTCAGGTGTTTGGAATGTCGAACTGAACCCTTTATTTCGCTGTTCTAGTTCCACGTGCCATGTTTAATGGATGCCAGTTATCAGTTATCTCCTGTTAATTCCTCTCTCCAAGTTATCCACTGCCTTAACCAGGTATTGAACTCACAACTCACACAACACCTTTATTCACTGTGGATTAAGGCGTTGCTTAGATCCGGTGACAGGACCCAAAGAGCGTGAGTTCAATATCTGGTTAAGGTGGTGGAAAATTTGGAGAGGCGAATTAACAGGAGATAACTGATAACTGACATCCATTAAACATGGCACGTGGAACTACAACAGTTTACCATTTTTTGTAAGAATCACTAAAAAACCCTTTGAGTTATTCGGATAGAAAGAGAACAGGTTAAAATCGTTTTGTGTCAGCCCTATTGTATCCACAAATGAACAATGGTGAGAGATAAAAGATCATTTAAGCCTTCAGTATTGGTACCAACATTCATACTCTGGCTTTCATGTTCAAAGTGTGTTCAAGAACTATCAAGTTTAACAAAGAGGGAACAGTAGAGTGGAAAATCGGATCAAGAGGTCACAACAAGAAGAGGTTTCATTTCAATTTAGTGCTAAAGAGATCAATTAGAAAAGATCCAACTCAACTTATAAGACGTGTGGTACGTGGGAGAGGAGTTTCAGCTATCAGAGTTCAAAAGCAGTGAAAAAAGACATGAAAATAAAATCGTACGTGAACCGTGTGAGGCTACTTGTTACTCCAGGACAGAAAGTTAGAAGGTTAGAGAAGGCGAAGATCATCTTAAATAAGTTGGAAAATGATCTTGAAATTATATATATATATATATATATATATAAATGGACACTAAAGTCAACAGGCTATTTCATGCATGAATGCAATTTTCAGTCTGATATTGCGTGCAATTAAAACTATATTTTTATATATATTATTTTATCATATATATATATATATATATATATATATGTATGTATGTATGTATGCATTTATGATAAAATGACTGATATGAAATATCCGAACAGGTATGTAAAATAGAATATTTGAAAACCTGTTTGATGCTTAAAATTTTTATTATGTTGTCAACGTTTCGTTGGGTAAGAGCATCATCAGAAAAAACTGTGTGTGTGTGTGTGGGCTAAGGTATGTATAAACGTATGACGTCATAGATTAGCGTGCACACAGCCCCTAACAGTTGGTATGAGAACGATCAGAATCGAAATGCTCTTTGTCTCTTAGAATTGCGTTTTTTTTTTGACTTTGCTGACGCAATCAGCTTCACAGATGTAAACAGATATTTATATAAAAGAAAGCGACTAATTCTTGGAAAGCCAAGTAGTCACATCTACTTTCATATGACTGGAATAAACAGAGAATTCATCCAGCCGTAAAAATACAAATTTACACCACCCACACAGACAACACGAATAGTTTCACATTTACTTTCATATGCACCAAGTAAATACATTGGCAGGGCATTTCGTATGAAAGGTCAAAATTTATGAGTTTTTTTTTTTTCTCAGTATCTTCTGTGAATTAGGTCATTTATAAAATTTTATTTAATTTTGAAAACAAATAATAAAAACGAACTTTTAAATAGATTCTAAAATCTATTCTATTCCTTTATATATCTATCTAAAAAGCTCGCTAGTCTGTTCGGGTCTTGCTTACCTTCATTCTGTCCAGTGGAGTCAGCTCATATCTATCTATCTATCTATCTATCTATCTATCTATATCTATCTATCTATCTATCTATCTATCTCAGTCTGCTCTTCTCTCAGTCTGTTCTTCTCTCAGTCTGTTCCTATCTATCTATCTATCTATCTATCTATCTATCTATCTATCTATCTATCTATCTATCTATCTCAGTCTGTTCCTATCTATCTATCTATCTATCTATCTATCTATCTCAGTCTTCCTATCTCAGTCTGTTTCTATCTATCTATCTATCTATCTATCTATCTATCTATCTATCTATCTATCTATCTATCTATCTCAGTCTGACTCTCTATCAACTTTATTTTTTCTTATCATCATATATTAAGAGTGTCAGAATTACTTATATTTTAAAATGAACCATATAATTTATAGTATAGATTTTATTTATTATTCCCATTTTCACTTTTAGCTACCATCACTATAAACTGAGACATTTTTAAAGCAATAATTTATACAAATGAATAAATACACGCGTCTACTATGAAACTGGTCGTCCAATATTAACAAATTAATGAGGAGAAAATTAAACGTTTTCGTATTATCGATAATCCGACTCGTTTACGGATTATTTCAAGCGTCGTTTACCAAGGTACAAAGGCAACAACTGGTTGTTCATGAATAATCCAACGATAACACCCTGACTCATCTAATCCACATCTCAGTCTCTTGTAATCCTCATTGAGTTAATCTGTTATTTGACCTCTGTTCTTTCCATTTGGCCTCTCTATTTCCGCCAAAGGTCATTACGTGTTAAATATGTCGTCTAGATGCGGGGTTAAAATACAGGATTATTCTTTCAAGTATATTATTTATTATTATTCTTTCAGCTTGAGTTGCCTCCCTTAGGAGCAATTGGTCACGCTTGTCATTTGTGTGTTGCCATTCGAAAAAGATTCCTACGTAAGCAAAATCTGATACATACGTATTATGGCTTGAAAAAAACGGACATTTCAAAAAGTATATATTCACACACACACACATATATATATATATATATATATATATATATATATATATATATATATATATATATATATATATATATATATATATATATATATTAAAACAAAGAGTGTAAACAATATAAAAAAAAATATTAATCCGCGTATAGTAGTGAATCGAAAAACAAAAAAACACTTTTTTCTTTACTCTTCCTTTTCTTTGTTGGCCTACGCCCACATCACGTTGAAACACGGGTTGCCGTATGATCACCGAAGTTAAGCAAGGTTGTGCCTAGTCAGTATCTAGATGGGTCACCGCTTGCCAATACCAAGTGCTGTAAGCTTGGATATATTGGTGGTTTAATAGTTAATGGCTTCGAGCTTTTAATCGGACAGCCGAGTTAAAATTCCAGTTGGCTTTCTTATAATTAATTATTAACACTTGTATCGCTAAACCATTATTATCGCAAAATATTATTACAATCTGAAATATTTCTTGGATTTAAATAACCTGCAAAGGGTTGATAAGCCGTAAAAATAAAGAAATCATTACGGGTCCACAGCTCTTCATATGTTAGGCGTTACTACTGTGGTTTCAGTAGCAAGTAGGTTTTTACGGGTGGGAAGTTGCTAACCTATACCTAAACCGGTTTTGAATTCAGAGTTATCCTTCTCCTAGTCTGGTTACCAACCAAGGCTGAAGAGTCCAGTATTTAACTCATAGCTCGATTCATACTTTTCCAAAGGATATTTGCGCCAAAGCGACTGTAACGAAATCGACATGAATTCAAATGAGGTTTGCTGATTTCTTGTTACATATTGGTTGACCATTACACCAACTGGACATTTGTGTGATATAACTAGTTAAGTAGATTATTAAAACTTTTTTTTAACTGTAGATTTTATTTAAAAGAATTTTTTTAATGTGTTTGACATTTTGGTCACAGGCACAAGAGGAAGAATGTATTTGATTTGAAAGCAGTTGCTGCAGTGACGTTTGCGAGATAATTCTTGTAATGTCTTACGAGTTTACAAAATTATAGATTTTATAATAGTTGTTCGAGTAAAACCAGTAAAGACAGACACACAGACACACACACACATACACACACACCCACACATACACACATACGCACACACACACAGACACATGGATATACAAGGACGTAGATACACATGTATAATGCTAGATACAGAAAGATGCAGTTTTTAAAAAGTGTGTTGTTATGATAATAAAAAGTTTAAAATCCATGTAAACAACAACAACAAAAGAACTTTGCACGCGAAATCCCGGAAAAATCCTGAAAATGGTCGGAAGGAAACAGTTTCCATGAAAAAATCCGTTACTTACTGAAGGACGCTCGAATAATTCCATTTCCAAAAGATAATTCTCCATTCTAATTCATAAGCAATCAGAAAGGCACAAGGTTAATAAAAAAAAGTTTTAAAAAAACACTAATCTTTTTTCTGACTTTACACACATATGCAAACATGGAAGCACACAGACACATGGAAGCACACATAAAGACATACGTTGGTTGGTTGGTAATGTTTAGCGGCATATCAACATTTCTATGGATTATTTAATGTCAAAACCTAAATATTTTGAACACAATTTTATGCTTTCAACTACAGATATTTCGTATATAATATTATACTTATAGAGTAAAACTCTTTCTCTCTCTCTCTCTCTATATATATATATATATATATATATATATACACACATATGTATATATATATATACATATAGTTTATATATATATACTTTTAAAGGAAAGCTATATTTTTAGATATATAGTTTATATATATATATATATATACTTTTAGAGGAAAGCTATGTTTTAGATATATACTTTATATATATATATATATACTTTTAGAATAAAGCTATGTTTTTAGATATATACTTTATATCTATCTATCTATCTATCTATCTATCTATCTATCTATCTATCTATCTATATGACGTCACACATTATGAAATGGACAAAGTCCGACAATTATTTTAAGACATTTTTATGTTTATACATTCTTTTTTTTATAGATACAAATATTTAAATAAATGCTCTGTTTATAATAAACAGTGTTAACAACATTTACCGGCCTTAATGATTGAGAGATTTTCATAGAAAGAAATATAAAGAGGTGACAGGCCACCCCCTTAAGGCAAGGCTTCAAGAACACCAAAAATCTGTAACACGAGGTGATGTCGAAAAATCAGACGTGGCTGACCACGTATGGAGAGAGAAGGGAGATCACCGCCCTCTGTGGGATCAGGTTGAAATCATAGACTATTAACATCATTGGAAAATTCGTAAACTTAAGGAAGCAGCAAATATGCTAGGCCACAAAAAATCTCCTGAGCCGACCAAGCATAGAAATGAATACAATATTGGAACCAGTAATAAGGAGCGCCAGAGAAAAGCAATAATAACAAGGAAAATTGCCATATGAACTCTGGTAAAAACATGCAATGATAACAGCAAATATGGTTGCTGAATACATTAAGTTTATAAGTCCCAGAAGTTCATGCACAGATGTCCTTAAGGACTCATGGCACAGTGGATAAAGGCATTAGTCAAATCCAGTGACAGGACCCAAAAAGTAGTGAGTTCAATACCTGGTTAAGGCAGTATGAAACTTGGAGAGGTAAATTAACAAAAGATAACTGATATCCATTAGACATGTGACGTTGAACTAGAACAGTCTACCCCAGTGAGCGAAATAAAGGGTTCAGTTCGACATTACAACCACCTGAAGAACAGCCGAAACGTTGTGATAAATATGGCAACAAAGATGAGGACAATAGTCCGAAAAATGTACATAGTGTACATAATACATCATCTCATATATATATACTTTTAGAGTAAAGCTATGTTTTTTTAGATACATACTATATATACTTTTAGAATAAAACTATGTTTTTAAATATATACTTTATATATATATATATATTTATATATACACACACTTTACATATACATATTTAGATTAAAGCTATATATATATATATATATATATATATACACTTTTAGAGTAAAGCTACGTTTTTTAGATAGTTTGTAAGTGATAAAATGTATTGCTGATAATTTTACTATAAAAATGCAGTTTTATATTTTTTAAGTGTTTCATTAGTTGTCTTTTTGCTATAAAAATTTATTGTTGCTAATTCTATGATAAAAAAGAACTGTTGATTTTTGTTTGGGGTTCACATAGCTGAGACCCTAACAGGTGCTACCACCTAGGGTCAAGGTGGACGTTGGAACAATCGCAGTTAACAGGTGGCTCCGTGCCACTCAAAACCTCCAATATTCTGATCAGAGGCCTTGCTGTCGGATGTAGTTTATCGTCATACCCAGTACACACGTACAAAACTAAACAAGTATATGCACAAAACGAACAGACGAAAAAAAAATGACCTAGGTTCATAAGTCCGTAGCCGAGTGATAAAAATAAAACATTTATATTTGTCAACATAATCTCTTTTTCCGTGAACTTAACGCTTCTGTTTTCACCAGACACATCGAACATTTAAAAGTGCCAGGTCAAAGGTCAATTGTGTTGAGCCAACTCTTTAACACGTGTGCGCTGAAAAATTATCGACTCGTCTAAGAAGCCCTTTAGGAAACCTTGTTTTTGGTTTTATTCTGAGAAGTGTATCAGGTCGAGAACTTTTCAACAATACCCTTTGTACACGCATCGATGAAGGCACAGACAGAAACATAAAAGCACACATACTAAATGCGCACACACTCACAGAATTGTTACACAGGTACATACACAAACAAAATATATATGCACACACGCACAATATATATATATATATATATATATATATATATATATAGACACACACGCATAAAAACAGAACAGATGTAAAAAAAATTATGTATTTTTGTCAGTGAGTGTTAATTTTAAATTCATTCTTGAGAAGGAAAACAGATATATAAAAATTATAAATATGATTGTAAAGTAGCTTTTTTTCTTTTACTTTTTAAATCTTTTCACCCGAAGCTAGGCGATAAAGCCACTGGTGCGCAGGGGTTTACAAGGAGTGAAAATCAAAAGAGAAGACGGAGAAAAGGACAAAGAATGAAGGGGATTTAAGGAGACACAAGATGGCTATTGACTTTGCATTTAAATTGTTGAAAATTGTTTTCAGGGAAGCAAATAACCGGAAGGGAGCTCCACGGGTGGGAGGTGCAAGAAAAGAAACGGAGTAGAATTGTTGGTTGCATTTAGCTATTTCAACAGTAAAAAGATGGAACCTAGATTTTAATCTAGTAGCACGCTTAAATTCATGCTATTTGGACTTTCATAGCTAAAACTCCTATCTCACGTGCCAAACGTCTTATGGACTGGGTTGGATCTTTTCTACTTGATCTCTTTAGCTCTAAATTGAAATGCAGATCTCTCTTCTTACTGTGACCTCCTGATCCGGTTTTCCTTTCTACTGTTCCCTCTTTTTAAAACTTATTCAACGTTCTCTTGATATTTCTTGAATGAACTTTGAAGATGGAAGTCAGAGTATGAATGTTGGTACCATTACTGAAGGCTTGAATGATCTTTTACCTCTCACCATTGCTCATTTGGGAAGACAGTGGGGCTGAAACAAAACGATTTTTACATGATCTCTTTCTAGCTGAATAACTCAAAGGGTTTTTCAGTGATTCTTACGACAAATGGTGTCAAGATGGCTAAATGACTTATCTGAAACCTGGAAAAAAGAAACTCAATTAGTTTAGTGTTTTTTTTTTTTTTTTTTTTAGATATTAAACATTATGTGGGGTGGACAATTATGCTGTTACAGCTGGTAACAGGTGGGAAGTGCGAGAAAATAAACTGTTGGAGTAGAATTGTTGGTTGTATCTAGTTATTTCAGCAACAACTGGATGGTGGGGTGCTAGTTGCCAGTCTCGTAGCACATTTAAATTCATGTATTTGGGGAACCAGGGAAAAATTTCGTCAGAGCAGTTGCCGCTAAAATATTTGTAGAAAAGACAGAGGGAAGCCACGTTACGTCGGTGACAAAGTGACTCAAGATGAGATGCCAGGTCTGGATCGATTACATTACAGATCCTTCTTTGGATTTTGTCAAGAATTTCAAGATTTACAATACGAGCACATCTGGCAACAGTATTCAATTCACGAAGGAATGTTAGGATTGTAAATGTGCATGATAAATTCTGACGTGGAAAATTTCCAAGGCACGACACAGTGAATCAAATTTCCTTGAAGTAGATACAGCAATTGAATCGATGTAGTTGATCCACTTCAAGGGAGTGGGAAACGTAAGACCATGTTGGCGCATTGTGTTGCTCTCCTGGAGCTTACCGTCA